CACCAAATCCCAAAACTATTCGTCAAACACTTGCCATGCAGAATAATTCATAAAGGTCAACAGAAACAATTCACAGTAGATGAAAATATATTTTGCAACGAGAGAGAATTTACGAAGGTTCCAGTACTAATTACCATACAAATTTCCATGGTAATTTTGAAAGGAATATTTTCTCAACTCACTCCATGACGATTCATATAAATTAACTTTCAGTCAGGGATAATAATGAAACTTTGTTCATAATAAAAAATGAGTTTCCAAGTAGAAAAAAAAATTAACTTTTTGGAAGTACGAGATATGTTCAGAAAATAACAGAAATGTTCGTTTGTTGGAAAAAGTATTGATTTGTCCGTCTACATTCATGTTGTCGTTCTCAAAATATTTTCCATCAAATAAAATATAACAAGATGAACTAATTTTCAGTCAATACAAAAGACTCGCGATACACCTTGAAATCTACTGGAATATTCAATTACAACGGGCTCATAATGTTTCCGGGCTTTTAATGTAGATACAGTTTGGGATCGCATCTCATGCCGAAAATTAACGAGAAAAATTCATAAAGGAAGGTTTCAACCGGCGCCAAAAACGGCATTATATATTCTAATGAAAAATCGATATTGATATCATTTATACTATCATGGGTTAGCGGAATGAATTCTGTTGTCTTCAATTTGCTGGATAAAAATGCAAATTTTTCGAATATTTGTGGGATACACGTGTGTGTGAGGGTAGCTAAAACTGAAGAAAGTTTCTGACGCTCATCAGAAAATATGAATTATATCAAAAACAACCCAAGATACCCTTTATATTTTGCTCAAAGCACACATTTGTGATATAAAATTGCTTTCTGGAGGCCGAAACAATATTCAAAGATAATGAGTTTCATAGCAAATAACAACGGAAACACAAAAAAGCAATAGTAACCTCAAGAGAGAGGAACTAAGAGAAAAGTTTCGTCACTATAAATGAAGGAAAAAAAACGCTAACTGAAAAAGATTATCAAAAATAGTGAAATTGTACTCTAGATTCATTATCATCTTTTGAAAGTACTTAAACGGTGATTTCGTGGCTAGTACCACTGATCAATGACAGATCAAAATAGTTTTATTTGAAATTGGATCATGAATGCAACAGTTTTGTATTCTGGTATCATCTATTCGTCTGTTTCCACTGGGTCACTATTGGGACCCCCTTTTATTTTGGTTATTCGGTGATTTGTAAGATGAGTTGCCATCAATCAATGATTCAAATTGGATATAGATACACGTCATGTCCCTTTTTTTTCTGATTAACGAATGAATACTCTACCGATAGGTTATAAAGTTTGAAGTTCAGAATCGATTGTTTTCGAAGAATTTTGATGTAAATTTTTCATTTCCTCATCAAAAAATTAATACTTAATCAAAAAACGTTTTCTCAATCCAACTGTAAAATCACCCATGGGGCATACAATGTGGAATTCAAATTTAATAATGTAACTGAAAAATATTCTTCTCTACCCAGGTATCCTATGAACTATGACATCTAGTTTCAAACCAACTTTTCCCTCCAGCAAAATTAACAGACATATATCGCCAACTCCCAAAACTATTCTTCAAACACGTGCCATGTAGAATAATGCATAAAGGTCAACAGAAACAGTTCAGAGTAGATGAAAATATATTTTGCAACGAGAGAGAATCAACGAAGTTCCCAGTATTAATTATCATACAAATTTCCATGGTAATTTTGAAACGAATATTTTCTCAACTCACTCCATGACGATTCATATGCATTAACTTCCAGTAAGGGATAATGATGATACTTGGTTCATAATAACAAATGAGTTTCCAAGTAGAAGAAAGTGCTAATTTTCGAAATACTTCTCAAACTCGATCTTAAGGATCTCTTTAGCGATGCGCTTTCAATGTCATTTATGACTGTGAAACATTCAAGGTTCACTTCATTTTTGGGAATGAGAAGCCATGTCTGGCGAATATGTAGGCTGAGGCGTCGTTACAGTATTGTTTATGGTAAAAAATCCATGAACAAGCATTGAATGTACATTGTACATTCGAAATACATTGTCAGACATATTGAGAAACGTATCCCTGGAATTATCTGGTGGATAAATGGATCGTTACTTCTCTAGGTTCCAATTTTCCACTGAGACGGCCTAGGTTTTCGAGGAATCGCTAGAGTGGATTATAATAAGAATATTACTGCTAGAATTGCTAAAAAAAATATGTTTTACCGACCAGCTGTGCACGCTGAGGGTTACCGAGATTTTAATTTTTAACGTACGATTCCATGCATAGGCTATATGATAGGCAGTGAAAATAGATAGACCGGCCTCTCGGCTCGAATCACAGTTTCACCTGAGGATGCCGGTCGATTGAATAATTGGAACAAACTACTCACGCCCACCCAACCGACTACCGTCTCGCCATTATTATCGATATCCAGCTACACGATCATTCCAGCGCCGCTCTAACATTTCAGTACCACTTTTAGAGAACGATTTATCTTTTGCCTTAGTTTTAATAATAGTCTTTTCATTCGAGCGAAGTTTTTCATCGGTCAACATTTTTTTTTGAGGTCTGCGAACAGACAGTAGTCACTGGGAGCGAAATCTGGCGAATACGCAATTCGATTTTCAATTCATGAAGTTTTCCAATTGTTTTGTTTGACTTGTGACACGGTGCGTTGTCTTGATGGAACAATTTTTTTTGCAACATGAGGTCCTTCCTTTGCAATTTCGGCCTTGAAATAACGCTATATGATATTCACTGTTGACGATATTTCCCTTCTCAAGATAATCGAATAATATAACACCACACTCATTCCAAAAAACCTAGGCCATAACCTTTCTAGTCGATTGTTGTGCTTTCGGGTACGAGGTTCACCAGTTGCTCTCCACTCAGATAACGATCATTTTGATTCCGGAGTGAAGTGATGGATCCAAGTTTCATCCATTGTCACATATCGACGCAAAAGTTCTGGTTTGTTATGTTTCAACATAACCAAACACTGATCAGAATCATCAAAATGTTCCACTTTGAACAGAGCTTTCTCATAGTGAATCGCCCATACAATATAAAGCCAACACGTTCTTTTAATATCTATTCAATGTCAGCCAACTCACGCAATTTCACTTTTCGATCATTCAAAAATATTTCGTGGATTTTTTCATATTTTCTGGTGTTACTGCCTCATTTGGACGTCCACTGCGTTCTGCATCATCGGTGTCTCTACGACCACGTTTGAAGTCTGCGAACCAATGTTCAGTCATATACGGTGGTTAAGTTGTACTTTATGAGGGGGCAGAGTCCTCATAACACTTTTCAAGCTATTGCTTCGCTTGAACGGAATTTTTCCCCATCGAGAAGTAGTGTAAAATAAAATCTTGGCACAATCACTCACAAACTTATGAGTAGAATATCATGAAATTTCAACAGCTTTCTTTTGAAGGTTGGTACTAACTGAAAAAGCGGTGAATACAATGAGACTAGTGCCATCTATGTGTTAGGCCCGAGACTTTTCAGCCCAGGTAGTATATTACTTAAGCTCTAAGAAACATATCGATATGAATAAGGAATGATAAATCCCAATCACTTTCGGCGCTAGTGTTATGATAAAACTCCTCAAAACCTAATAGCAAGCATTAACAAGTTGACAACAAATGTATACAAATTATTTTATTCTGTATGGCTTCATACTCGAATTAAAATTCCACATCGTTGCCTTCCTACAAAAGCATATTATATTATATTTCATGCATACGTCGGAATGTGCACGGTTAATGTGGTTCCCTTCCATTTTGTTCTCCAGGAGTTTTATATGGCTGATGGATTTCAATGAGCAATTCTTTCAACACATTTATATTTTCAAACCACATAATATACAAATATTTCAAACTGCAGACCTACTTGAGCAACCATGATCATTCATTCAAATAATAAAACTGGTCCAAAAAAAAAAGGTTAAGGATTTCGCGGCCAAAGTTTTCAGTTCAACTTTTTTTATTCGAGCTTCCGTCGATTTTTTTGATTTCTTTCTGACGATTCGCAGACGTGAGTGGCTAGCTTCTTCAGAGGTTTGTACATTTTCAAGTGGGTCTTTACACAAACCTGAAGAAACCATCGTATGGCGAAACACGTATTGCTTTTTGAGAAATTGTTCACTAAAAATCTCACAATGAATTGTTTTTTGAAACTAACAAATAAAAATCTTTGTAGAAATTAGGCAAAAGTTATTTCTCCAATTCTATTTTCAGTATGAATTTCTACAAAATGATTAGATCATCAATCGTAGGTACATATGGCAGAAATAGTTAATTTTTTCAAAAAAACGTGTTTTTGTTCACGAAATTCAAGTTGATTGTGCTTTTTGTTTTTTCCCAAGAATTTTTGGTCCATCACAAAATTTTAAAAATAATCTTTGCTTTGAATTTGTAAAAAACTGTTTTCCAACAACTTCGGATCAAAACATTTTTTTTTAATCTACCTTATTTTGTTGGGAACAAAGAAAGGATATATCAAAATTTATTTCGGTTTTGAAATGAATCAGAATAGTTTGAAGATTATTCTGGTCTTTTACAAAAATTTTCCTAATGATTTTTCCATTATTTTTTATTTTCTATTTGTTTTTTATCTTCCCATACTCAGAAAACAACTCTTCAAAATAATTTTCCCATCATATCTATACATTTTTAATTTTTACAAAAAGAATGGAACTTTATATCATGTTTTCTGAGCAAAAATGGTTGAAAATCAAATAAGGTTCTCCAGAACAATCACATGAATTGATGATTTTTCCATGAATATTGTCACATCTATATTATCATCAACTAGAATATCAGCTACCCAATAATCAATAAAATCAATTGATTGATGATGATGGTTTTTTATTCACGTTCATACAAATGAATTTTCGTATAAAATAGACTTTCTCACATGCAAATATCAATTCAAATCCCAGTGAAAACAAATCAAACTTTAATCATCCAAATAACTCACTCTGAATATTCCCATTCTACCGCAAACTTTGCCAAAGTGAACTTCATGGTACCCAAGAACTGAATATTCGAAAAGTTTCTACTACGATAATCGATTCGGAGTTCTGATGAATTACTTTCAGAACTTTGCCAGTTTGGCGAGAACACGCGTTGAGGTAAATTCCTCCACTGTCAGTCTTCTGCCACCACCGCCGATATGTAACACTGCGACGCCGATTCTACAATGACGAAAGAGCGTCGGTGGCATCTGGACCATTTTCATGCGCACTTGTCTGCAATGGTGCGTTCCTCGAAGAGGTTATTTCATTTTCTTTCAAGGTGGTTTTTCTACGAAATTCTGAAAAGCTTTTTCTGAAGAGTAAAGAATCTACATTACATTTCGAAGAACACTTCATGGAATAACAGGTGATGAAATTTCTACTAGATCTTCACTGTATCATTTAAAACAAAAAGCCTTCATATATATTGGAACGATATAATTGAACTGTTTACAAATAAATCAAGACGACGTCGTAAAAAATCATTTGATCTGAAACATATATCTAATATATAAAAATAGATGTTTGTTTGTTGGTTGGTTGGTTGGTTGGTTGGTTGACATGTATGAGTAATTTTTCATAGAGAAGGTTTCAAAGGCTATCAATTTTTCTGTAACTGGCCACTAGATGGCGCTGTAGAACAATTTTTTGAAAGCACTGTTCTGTAACGCTGCGCACGCTTAAGTTCGTTGATTCTGATTCTGCCAAAACATTCGAACAGCAGCGATTCAGCAACATAGTACTAGTATATAAAAAACATATAGAATATCATAAAAATCCTCATTATAATGAACAATAACTAATACCTAGTAGTTAACTATATGGCTTGTTGAAATAAAAAATAATCAGATTTACCTGACTATTGAACATTGTGAAATTCAATTTAAAACAGACGCCAATGTCCTCTCGTTCATGAAACAAAATGTACGGTGTCTCCAAAGGCTCCAATAAATTCAAAATATCGTCAGAACGCTCCATGACACGACTATCGTCAAACTTAAACCAGTCTGTTTCGTCTTTGAACAATGCGTAATAATGACCTGATTCAACGCCAGAACCACAGTGAACAATGACTGCACGAAGATTATAAGAGTGATCTGCTAGATTGAAGTGTTCATCTATTTCAAACTTTCGTAAGAGTTTGGTGCATCCGTCAGAAGTTGAGTCATATTTGAAGATCATCAGTGTCATTATTAGATTGACTGATACCTCATCTATACTTGTTTTCTTATAATAGTCAGTTAGTTTGGCGCATGTTTGGCAATACAGTTGATCATCACCCGTTGAAAGTTCTATTTTCAGATAATTGGACAATAAGCTTTGCACGGACTGGTTATCAGTCATATTAGGAAACGCTAGTTGAATTTCCAGAAAATCACATACATTTTTGCTACCTCCTACAAAGTTACAAAGTACACAAGTGAGGATTTTTCCAGGAAAAGATCTATAAACACAAGATGAGATACACTGCATGGAATCATTCAATCCAGAGCGGTCAGAAGTATTGATTCTGCTATTTGTTTGCCCGCGAAGAGTATTCAACAAGAACCCATTCAGTGGACTTCAAAGACTCCAGGGAATCGGTTGGTGAGAAAGATGATACATTCATTCGAAACTGCACTTGGCTGACCGGGCTGACCTATGCGAGCGCTTTCGACAGCTGGTCGTGCTGTCATCATCAAGGCTCTACTCAAACTGAACATGTCAACTTGTTGTTTGTCCTTTAATGTGGTCCGAACGCCTCAGTGCAGGTACTTCAGGTACCTACTATAGGTAAATTTGAATTTGGGTTACACCAGGTAATATTCTTTGTGTTGGATCTTCTCTAGGTTTACAGTTTCTAGGAGTGTGTATTGTTTTGTGTAATATATTGAATGTTAGGTATTGTTGTGTTTTTATTTGTATTTGTTTCTCGATAAGTGAATTATAACTGTTGAATTTATGGATGTTTAAGTTGTTCCAGATGTCCATACAGTTTCCCTTATCGACTTGTTTTATGAGTTTTATGTTCTCTGATGGGGGGAAATTATGTTTGTTTTGTATGGCGTGTGTTGCGAGGTTTGATTTATATATTATTGGGTTCATATATGCCTTTTTGTGATCGTCGTACCTTTGGATCAGTTTTTTTCTTGGTTTGGCCGATATAGAATTTGTTGCAGTCCGAGCATTGTATGCTGTACACCCCGTTTAGGTTTTTGTCTTCTTCTTTTCCATGGCTGTTTTTTTTGTGTTATTTCCGTGTTTGGCTTGTATGTGATGTTGATGTTCAGGGGTTTGAAGATGTTTGTTAGTTTTTTGGTTTGGTGTCCCTGAAAAAATCTGTAAAAAATTGAAAAAGATTAACCGAAAAACTAACAATTCTATTAAACAAAAAACTGAAATTACAAAGGAATACCATACAAGCAACAATAAAAAAATAAAAAATAGAAATATCAATACAAGCTGCTCTTTGAATTGGAGGGGTTATATTTTTTAAGAGTGATTAATTTTTGGGAAAGAAAGTTTTTGGCTTTGAAATACAAACTGAGTAGAGAAAAGTATCTTCTGTATAATTCAGTGTTCATATAGAAGTATTTGATTCGAAAAATTTTTTTCTTTCGTATAATTCAATGTTTATATGGAAGTAGGTGTTTGAGGAGGGCTTTCTTTCAGTTTGTGTCTGAAAGTTACTTCTTTGCATGATCTACACATCGATGTATAGAGTTACTTCCTTCCTTTCTTTGGAAGACTCCCTCATCCTTCTTCTTTTTTTTTGTATCAAGATGGAGTAGTATAAAGCCAAAAACTTTCTTTCCCAAAAAGCTGTTCTTGTTAATAATATTTTTATTTTTCATCTTGTATTGATATTTAATTTTTTTTCTTTTTTGGTTGTTGCTTGTATGTTATTTCTTAGTAATTTCAGTTTGTTGTTCAATAGAATCGTTATTTTTTCGGTTAATCTTTTTTAATTTTTTACAGATTCTTTCAGGGATTTCAAATCAATTTATATTATATTAGACAATGGAAGTTCGAACTGATGAAATTATTATAATTATTTTACTTGTATTTCATTTCACTGTCATTTCATTTCAGGGTTTTTTGCCTAATATAATTCTAATTTTCAGCTATTGTTTCCAATTTTTCATTTGTATTGGGTCTTTTAGGGATTTCAAATCATTTTATATAATATTTGACAATGAAAATCCGAACTAATAAAATTCATCATGAAACATTGTCAATAACCTTCAAACATTTATAGTTATATTATGACCAAAATAACACAAAACCCCTGTAAATTGTAGCCTATATGTTATTCTGATATATAAGCTGCATTAATGTATCTACATGTATGTTTGTATGTATGTATGTTTTCCACATTTATAATATTAGTATAGAAGACGATAGAAACAAAAAAGTCAAATTTCATTTATACCTTCTTTATACTACAAAAAACAACGATATATCACGTGCTGTATGTCTTACGTTGAACGTTTAAACATACGTCAAGTTCAAAGTCGAACCAAGTACAAGCGTAGCAAGTTCACGTTTTTAATTAATTAGGTAATATATAGGTTAATAACGTTGTTGATGAACACATCTCCGTGGTGAACTTAAATTGCTTTGCCGTTCCTCGACTGTAGAAACTCAAATTTGCTTAGTTTCTAGATCAAGATCTTCTCCTATATGCTATAATTTTATCATATTGAGTGAATAATTTTTTCTTTGCTTCTATGTCCTTGGAGAAACGAAGAATATTGTTTAACAACATCACAAATTCTCAAAGAATTCTATCATTTATCTACATTCTGAAAAAAGAAATGAACGAATACAGTGAAAAGTGTCGAAAAACTCATACAAACTGATATCTAACCCGGATATTAATTCAGGAAATAATTTTTTCAAATGAGACCTCGCTTACAATTCGTGGGTGAACTGAACCTCAAAACAAAGTTAATTTTTGATATTTTATTTTTTCTTCAAGTTTATTTCATCGGCACATCTGAACCACAGAATTTCTTTGAAAATAATATTTTCACTTTCATGAATAAACAATACGCAGTATCAAATATAACAAAACCATTTTGAGAATCCGAAGTATTTGAGATAGTTGAATTCTCTCATTTGTTTGTTTTTCTTTTTTTCGAACAAGGACCTCATTATTATTCGATCCCAAACCTTATATTTACAGTGCTACAGAATCACTCTCTATTTTGTCTTCATTCCATATTGAAATAAAAAAAAATCCTTGATGATTCATATTCAATCAGTAAATACATATTGATAGCTTCCTTTCGAGCACTGATATTTGGCGATCCAATTCCAGACAGCGCCGTTTTGACCTGCCAAGTTATCATCAATGGTGCTAGGCTAAACCACTCAACTGTCCTGAAAAGGACAAGCTTGGGAGTAAATTGATGACATTGATGAAGACCCAGTCGTCGAAAATTATTGATAGACAAAGCTACACAAGGCGGTCGGTTGTAATCCAATAGCTGACAGCGTTGTTTCTACCCGCCAAGGACGACGTAAGATGTCGAAGATCAACTTTGCAACTGACTGCCCGCCTTCAGGAGCCTTGTTTATCTTTTGTATTCAAGAATAGAGTCGATTTCATAGATGGCGACTTCATAGGGGGAAATGAAAGCACTTTTTCTCATCCTTGAACAAAATACGTTCTGTTCACGAATCGTATTATTTCACAGGTACAAATTTATATATAGGATTGGGAATATCAAAGGTAAGTAGTATTTCCTAATCAGTTCATTACAAAGCCAAACCTTCACATCAACGGTCGGTAAATTTCGTGATCATTTCTCCTTTGACATACTTCTCGATCATAGTCTGACATTGATTCCACCTGTGAGTTGTACTTTGTATAATGTACAAAGTAACGTATTATGTACATGTAATCATTATACAACAACTTCAAGTTTAAAATTTTAGCAATTTAATAACTGTAAAGTCAAAACCAGATGCGTTTTTTGCTATCACTCCTCTGATCTTCCTACTGTGAGAACATATGTTGTTCTTGCAGTTTTCTTTTCGGATGAGCATATCAGAAATATCGTCTAGTCGGCAACGCAACCACTCGTCTTCTTCTCTGCATCCAAATATATTTCATTCTTCAGGAGCTCCTGATAATCTATAACTGATGTAAACATTC